TATAGTTGCCTTTTTTATGTATTCTTTAAATTTTTTTAGTTTGCTGTAATGCATAAATTTGTCTTTAATTATGTTAGATAGTTTATTATAAAACATTCTTTTAATAGCTGCTTTATTAGTTTATCTGCTAATAGCTAATTATTTATAGAAGTGTGCTGCATATAATTAGACAGTGCTTTTTTCTTATTATAAGGTGTTTATTCTATTAACTGCCTTTTCTTTTTAGTTAGCTTAGCTATAAATAGTTATAAAAGCTTACTTAAAAGCATTTATACTTTAAAAGATTTTTTAAGTGTAAATAAAAAAAATTTTTTTAGTTACTTTATACTTTATCTAGTTATCTGTGTGTAGTTAGAACTAAATAGCTAGAGGTCCTTTTAGGTAAAGTTTTATTTATAAAATTATTTCTTTATTAGTCTAGAAAGCGCCTTTATTATACTACATATATAAATAGCATTAAGTAAAGAATAGCTTAAAGTTCTTAGCTATACTATTAAATAATTTAAGTAGGGCTAGGCATAGTAACTTCTTTAACTTAATGCTAGTCTTTTTCTTAGCAGCATTACAGAGCTTAGCAACTTCTAGATAGAGGGCGTGTAGTTATTAGATGTGTAGTTATTATTAAAGCTAGGTTCTAAGTGCTTTAATTTCTTAATAGAGATACTATATTTGTTAAGTGTGTTTTTTCTTATTCCTAGACAGGGTTTCTCTAGTGCTAGCTGCACTAGCTCCTGTTATGCTAATATTAAGGGAGGTGTAAGGTGCTATACTTTTAGAGAGGTAGTAATTAATGTTATAATTCTTACTTTAGAGAAATAGTAATTTCTAAAGTATAATAGCCTATGTAGTATTTAGTAGAGAAGGGATAAGAACTTAGCTAGATTAGGTGTATAGTCTGTTAAGCAGAGTAAGGGATAGTTAGGATTTAGAAGGTAGGCTGTAGTTTGTCCCTATAGCTGTATAAGTAGCTAGGTGTTACTAGTTAGGTAGACAAGAGTTAGAGGTATATATGTTGTAAGATATATAAGGCAGCTTAATCTTTGTTAGAAAGGATTTAAGCTTCTTAGTCTATTATAAAAAATAAACTAAATGTTAATTATAACTTTCTAACTATAGTTAGGATTAAGATTATATACATAGGGTTTACATGCGTTGCATGCGTTGCATGCACCACCTGCGTCTGCCTGCAACGCCTGCATTGCCTGCAATGTTCTAGTCCCTATTAGACAGTGCATTCTGCCAAGCATTTGTCTATAAGATGACGCCATTCCTCTTCTATTTAGTCATAAGGTCCGCTGATCGCGGGGTTAACTGTCTTCCATCTGTTGTGCTTGGGGCTGTGTGCAATAGCGAGCTGAGTCCTTACGGCCTGTTCGTTGGCCGTAACAGTATCTAGAGTTGTCTAAGCTAAAACTAAATTTGCAATACTTTAATTAAAAAACAGAACGTTTACAAGAGCGACTCTAAAGGCGCCTACTCTTAGTGTTTCCTTAAGCTGTACAGAGAATGCAACTAAAATAACTGCAACTGCTGCTATAAATAAATCTAGAACAATAGTTAACTACTGCTAAATGCAGAGTAGAAGCTAGTATAGCTGCTGCAAGAGGTTAAGAAGCTTTAAGGAATGTGCGTGTAATAATTATTGCTAACTAAAAGCGCGCACAGTTTTAAGCATCTAGAGTGTATTAATAATAAATGTGTAGAAAGGTATCTTAGCCTTAAGCTCTAGGTAATAGAGTTAGCAGGATAAGAAAAGATAAAACTTCTATAAACTGTAGGCAAATATAAGACTAAGTAGAATAATTACTGTAGTATATTTTATGCTAAGACAAATAAGAATAATCTTAGAAAGATAGAATAACAGGCTTTAACAAGGATATAAGCAAGCTAAAAACAGCATAGAAAGAAAAAAAACACGCTAAAGAATGTAATGAATGTAGCGTTAGGCAAACTTATATCTATAAGCTAAATATCCTAACTAAATATATGTTAAGTTAAGAATAGTTACGTCTACAAGAGGTAGAATATTTGCTTGTTTGCAAGGCTACCTAACTTAGCTGCAGAAAGAAATACCACTAGTAAACTATATTAATTATATAAGTACAACTAAGAAAGAACAGCTTTAGTAGAAGTTTTGTATAAATCTTAGAACAATGTTAATAAAGTAATATCTTATTAATTTATTAGCAAGATTAAAGGCTGCTACTAATAGACAGTAACAAACCTAATAGTAGTCCTTACTGCAAGGAGACAAAGTGCTGTTAGGAGGAAGTAGATTCTAATAAAGACACTTTAGATTAGTAGAAATTTATGTTCAACTCACTACTTAAGCTAAATCTCTATTCATTTATTAGAAGAGTATATGATAAGGCGAAGTTATTCTAGTTCTTACATAGGAATTTAAATAGAAATACGTGAAAATAAGCTATTGTTGTGAAAGTGAGGCCATCTATCCAGCTGCAGTGTGTCCAACCGTTAGTACACCTAATAGTACAGTACTGCAGTACAGCGATTTTGGTCACGTACGTACGTACAGGGCATCTACTTAGTATACTGTACTATACATGAGGCTGCTGTACTAACCGTTTACGGTAGTTATATAGGATTTTTAGTGGTTTTGGGCGGTTGAAGGCAGGTTGCTGAGGGCCAGGGGGCTCGTGTTCGGAGATTAATGCGGAGAATGCCATTAGTGCCTGTTTTGTTAGCAATCTTCTAACAAATTCAGCAACTATGCCATCTACCTTATTCTTTTGCCCATTATGATGTCCCAATTCCTATCCCAATCAATGACGCGGTCATCTCAGCGTGTTACCACCTCGCAGGCCCCATCCTCGCGGGCCTCATCCTCACATGCCTCATCCAGCCGTTCTGCCACCCAGATATATCATGCTGCCTCATCCCGACGCTTAGAGAAGGCCCGCATGGCCTCACCTGGCCCATCTAGGCCGTCCTCGCGTGAAGCAACTCCCTCAAAGCATATGCAAGATACCCGGGCTAAGGAGCACCTAAATGATGCCCGCTATAACGTCAGAATCGCCTTTAAGATTAACATTGCCCTTAATTTCCTATTAATCCTAGCAACCTTATGTGAGTGCGAGCGGTGCTTCTTACAGGCTAAGAAGACTATTACAATAAGAAGGAATTAACTATTAGTGTTAATAATAGAGGCTCCTTAACTGTAGAAGAATTAGTTACATAACATTGCTGTTACTAGTGAGATTAACAACTGTAGATCTTACAAGGGGTATTATAACTTCCTAATTAGGTATAGTCTTTAGCTTTAGCACAATTACTTTATAATACTTTAGTTACTGTATCTGAACCGTACACCGACGTCATCTCCTCCGTACAGTTAGTTAGTAACAGCCGACTCTTCCGTAACTGTACTATACAACCTCCAAAAGGCTCCGTAACTAACGGTTGGACACACTGTCCAGCTGATCGTACGGAGTAGTAAGTATAGACCGCAATATCTCCAGTACGGCGTGTGGGATCCTCAGGATCGCCAGGCATTACCGGATTTTCTATCGGACTTGCCTCTTTTGCTTGCTATACGGACTGAGAATGATTAAATGACCCACCGAGGTGAACCTTGGTGTCGGAAAATTTGGTAGGAAACAATGTGGGAATTTTTACCAATGGCAGTGGCCCTTGATTAAGGATCTTTCCGCTTTCCAAAATGATCACATGATCAGCAATCGGGACAAATTTGATTATAGTTGTTGCTACTATTCCTTCAGGATGACATTTTAATTAGATATCCTACCGGAGTGTGTTGAAAGGATCACAGTCTGGTGGCCCTGTCGACATATGCCGTTTGGTCCAAACGCACGCTCGACAACCGGTTGAAACGTAATCTCGTCCAGTCCGGAGAGGACATTGTCTAGGATCAGGACTTCCGTCCTCACATACAGTGCTCGACACAATGCCTGCAGGGCGTTAGGGCGGATCCATTGAAGGCATTATTAAACCCACAATTCGTTGCTTCTGGCCTCCACTCAGATTAGTACCCCCGGCTGTAGATCATCACTTTAGAGCTACGTCCAAAGCAATGCCCCACCCTGTACGATAACCTTTCCTTCCCCAAAACTATATAAACTTGTTGAAAATAGTAAGGATCCTTTGCATGGATGCGGTGAGAAAATTCTGGCGTTGAACGAATGATGGTAGCGACTTACGGTTAGCTAAGATCTGCATGTCGGACGTCCGTCTCCGTTCGAGCAGGACATTGAAACATGGCGCGTCCCGCTCCCTGGTTCTGTTCTGATTATAAGGTAGGTAGCATAGCAAACTTGATAGCCGGGACGTTTGACTAGGAACTGCATGCTGGTTTTAATATAAGAGGAGAACTCCGTGCTTGTGCCTACGGTTTTCTATTGAACCAATACAACGTACGTTGATGCGAGCGACCATGCCTGAGGGTGATACGGGCTGCTGTGGGATCCCTTAAGGATGCAGCATGGCATGCCGAAAGCCCATACCGGACATCTGAACGCAGCGGTACGGGAACGGAACGTAGATCCTAATTGAATCACTGCTATGTCACGTGATAGAGGGCTCTCGATCACCCCAGATGAACGCTCTGACACGTGACCACCGGAGGCGCTGCCTGATTCCAACAACAAAAATCAACCTCGAGGCGTTATCCGCCAAGAAGAGGTTCCGAGCAACCACAGAATATTGCAGCGAGGCTTGCATAAAGTGCGCTTAACCACCCAGTCGGTGAAGATAGCCTTGCCTTGAGGTGTGGAACATGACAATCTATTCTCGGGGAGTACGAAGATGCATGAGCGAGAGGAAAACTTAAGCATTGACGTCACTAATGGAGCAAAGTCACGTAATTTACTGAATAGTCTGGATTACACTTAGGTACACCAAAACTCTGTAAACTAAGAATAGGGTACAGCTTCTTTTTTATTTAACTAGTAAATTTAAGATTTAGCGGTGGTATATTTAAGTAGCTGCCACTTATTCCTATGTAGCTGCCCTCTAAAGTGTTCCTAAGCTCGCAGTGTTGAGGAAGCTTGGTAGTGAGCTGCCTTTAGTCTTCTTGATTTTTCGTGTCCATTCTCACCGCTTTGTTCGCATTTCCATGAAAATGGCTGTCATGGTTGGGTCATATCTCCCGTTTAATGCACAGCTTTCTTGCCGTTTCCCGCTTGTCAAAAACTGACAGGAGGAGTTCACGTCCTCAGCCACTCCGCGGTTCTAGTCGGCGAGCCAGGGCGAAACGGTAGGAGACATTCATTGGCAACGTTTGAACGGGGGAGCGCGGTGAACGCTTGACACAGTAGCACCGAAGTATGTTACCAGTAAGGCGTAGCACGAAAGATGAAGAGGTCTAGTCGATGCACATACTTTCCGTTGATATTTTGGTCTAAAGCTTGGATGCTTCACCCTTGTCAACTTTCTTGAACCGTCTCCTAGCATCAATAACTAGCATGATTTGTCGCGCAAGGCAAATAGGTACTAGTTCCTCATCGCAAATAGTGAAGTCCAAATCCATCCTGCCGCCATCTAGCATCTTCGTTATCACCCTCGTAAAAGTCCACATCATCTCCTGTTCTGGTAACCGCCGTTTGAATTGGAGATCCATTGTCAATGTCGTATTCCAGATGCGCGCTTTGGCGGCTTCCTTGAGCGAGTTTCTCAGTATCGCCGGCTTTCCTGGTGTCTTCTCCGCTGTCTCTTTTTTGATCCTGTATATCTTGTGCGCATCGAAGACGCCTTCGGTTCGAAGCAGGGTGTCTGATGTTGACGGAGCCATATCGCAAAGCATTGCTAGATGGGCACCATCAAAGCGCTCCGGCCTGTCAAAGGCGCACCAGTAGTCGATAATGCCAGGCGTCGGCTGTCCATTGACCGGGTACAGGAATGTCATGCGTTTCAAGAAAGGAAGAAGCTCTCCTATCGTCTTCGAAGGAAGCCAGTTCTCGTCCGGCTCATAAGCCTCGACTTTCTTCAAGTCCGGACCTGGCGGCAGCGCTGGCAGGAAAGGTACATTTGCCTTAGCTGTAGGCCCGAATGGGACTGTAAAATCGGTGGATGTAGCTAGTGCTGTGCATCTCGGCTCGCCATTTTGACTCAGATCTAGTTGTATGAAGCACGATCCTTTGCCAATCTTCAGGTCGGTTACTTTGATGGCGGAAGGTTCGGGGGTGCAGGGCCGGAAAAATTCAATGTGCAGCGTTTGGACGTCTGGTTGTTTCTGAGATGCGAGCGTCGTAGTAAAATGCGCGTGCGCAGTTGAGTACAGCACCGCAGCCACGCAGCCCCCGAGGAGCACTAACGGTTTGAGTAACAAGGACTTGATCAGCCCGATGAAGGCAATTGGTGTGGAACTTACTCGGTCCCATGGTCCATTCTGCATCATAGCTAGCTGTATACGCATGAGAGTCCTGCTGCCGCAGTCCAATCTGGTCTTTGAGTGCATTCCCCATGGTCAAAATGGTGAGGAATAGGGTGGAGCACAGAAAAAGCGGTCTATTCGAGGCTGTAGAAACTCAGTTTACATAGGGCACTAGGGGGATCTGGATTCCACCGACACGTGACTCGTAGTCAACAGGGGAATGCAGGCGCGGATCTAGCAGATTGATGGGCAGAGTCAAAGCCGTTTTGTGTTACGTGGCTGTTGTACGCTCCAAAGTGCTTTCGTGGACAGCTCGAGTGAGGGCCTCAGATAGCCAGACCGTGTGGTCTGTGGTCTATGGTCTATGCGGGCTGAAGTGGAAGAGGGAATGTGGAAGGGTGGTGGTGGACGGTGGACGGTGGAAAACTGAAAGCAGAAAGCGGAAAGGCGACCGCCAAGGTTATATACCCCTTCACCTGCAGGTACCGTTGTACTGGGTCGTGTGCAATCCTCACACCTATGCACCAAGACATCACCAACAGCAGACATTTGACGCAAGTCAGTTCTATCAAAGCTGCCGCTCACTTCCGCTAAAGATTGGAGACTATCATGAATATTGGTGCCACAGCCTCAGCGGTAGCCAATGGGCTCAAGAGTGCTATGCGAGGCGCAGTTGTTTGTGCCGCACCCCGACGCGTGCCTGTAGCACCAGCTTGACCTTACACCCTCGCTAATTTCCACACCAGGTCCTTTGCCTCATCGTGATCGCCATTTCTAGTTTTCGTTGTCACTCAGAGAGCGGCTTACCCGCCCATTCTAAATTTGCCTCTTCCTGAATTGTAGCATTGGACCATGGTGAAGCGCGACATAGGCATCAACCAAGTGGAACTGGTCGGGATCACGCTGCCCCCAGCCTAGTTCCGGTGAGCCTCCACCAAGAGTCGACCCAGGTGCTCTCCGCATATCGTACCTCCATAAGGTCCGCCCAACAGCAGCTAGAAGCTCCAGCATGGCCAAGTTCTTTCCAACACAGTTTCCAGGACCCAACGAGAAAGGATGGAAATTGGACCGTGCTCGGTCAACGTCCTGCTGCGTCACACCTGCTGCCTCATCCACGATCCAGCGCTCAGGGCGGTACGTATAGCTGTCACCGTACACCTGCTCATTGCGTCCATTCGCGAAACCAGATGTGCCCACAATTGTGCCTTCTGGGTAGTAATAGCCCTTGATTGTGATGCCCCCAGCTCGAACTTGTCGAGGCAGCTCGCTCGGCCCAGCCGGAGAGAGTCGCATTGCCTCTTCAATGCACGCTTTCATGTACACGCATGACGCAAGCTTTGGCCCATGAACAATTTCCTCGGCTGATTGGAACATACTGCGGATCTCCCTCACTACTTTTGCCAGACGGTGCGCTTGGGAAGGAAGCGAGAGATAGAACATTGTTGCCGTGAGACTGGTGGCTGACGTATCGGAACCAGCAATGACTAAAAGGCTTGCTTCGGCTCGAAGCGTCTGCTCGTCATGAGCTGGTCTACCAGTATCGGGATCTTTTGCCTCGCACAAGAAATGGAACATGTCTAGCCGCTGCTCCGCTCCTGGCTTTTCGTTGAGCTCTTGCTGGAGAATGAGACGCTTAGAGACGCAGTCATAGACAAATTTATTGAAGTATTTGATAGATGGCGGCGCAATAGCTTCAAATAGGGAGTCGAGGCCTCGCGGCTTAAGCCAAAGGACGAAATCCAAGAACGGTGAACGAGCAATCTGATCTCTAGTGAGCACGACGCGAGTTTCGATTCAGTTGAGTTCCGCTGGAACACCTACCGGATAATAGAATCGCATATACTGTTCGATGGTTTGGGGCATGGCCTTTAGAGGATTCTCCCCTGGCTCTTTAGTTTCGAAAGACTTCCCGAAGCAAAGATCCCCCGAAATATCAAACACCAGCGTTCCTACACTCTCGGAAAAATCGATGGGATTTGACCAATCCTCGCTGTCACCGATCATGAGCTCGTTCCAGCGGTCGATGTGGCGGAAGATAAAGTCGGACGCAGCGCGGACAGACTTCTCCGTGAAGGATACATTCAGCAACTTGCGCTTGTACGCGTGCTCTGCTACGTCGACAGTGTTCAGTGTATGCGCGTCCTTTTCATTGCGTCTCCATGCCGTGTAAAATCCGCTGCGTTGGACATTAGCTTTCGTGTTGTAGATATCCTTGTAGGCATCTGGATCGCAGAACAAAACGGTGTTAGGGCCCACACGAATCCTATCTCCTGAGACGGCTTTGTCAGTTTACACAACCTGGAAATCTATGGCGAAAGGGAGGAGCCATACCGTATATCTGGAAAAGCTGCCATAGCCATATATGACGGTCGCCTTTCATAGCGCGATACCACGAAGGTATTCCCGACACGCGAGCGAAAAGAGGCCCAGGTACCTTAGAGAGGGGATGGAAGAAGGCATTGTATATCAAGCGCGTAAATACCTAGCGACGGTGAGTTTGGTTCGGACGAAGCGCGCGTCTGGGGAAATGTTCATACATATACAACCACAACCAGGACGAAAGAGCGAACCGTGAAGAATTGCCCAAGATCCAAACCAGCCATGACGGCAATTTCAGGAAGACCAGTGTAGTGGGACAGGGACGGCACGCAGTTCCGCTGCACATGCAAATCAAGTTAGAAGAATGAGGTTGAGGCTGGAGCCTTGAGGTAGATATCGTGCATCTGCCAGGCCATGGGCACTGGCGCCCTTCGGCGGCCTTCTGTCCCAAATCTCATGCCGCAATCTATTCGGTCCGGCATTCAACGGGGTCGTGGACTTTCCAACGGACATGAGTCGGCGCCTAAATGCTGTGCGTCCAAATTGCTGACGGGAATGTTGTGAGTCGCTGACCGTTCGGGAAGTCCGGAGAGCAATGTTGTCTTGGAGACGGCGGCTTGCAGGCTGCATGATGCATCTCAAATTTCCAAGGTTCCCGTCGATCAGAAGGCCCTTGGGCTTGCATTAACACCCCGCCCACAGCGGCACAGTCCGCGCCACCTACAATTGTCCGTGGCCGGGGTGCAGGCGCCAAACTAACGGCGCGCAACAGGGATTTGCGCACGGTTGAAGCTATCTCTGTGGGTCTGTCCACTAAACACGCCGTACTTCGTTACGAGAAAGAATTGAGCTCGATGGCTAAGGGCCCCCGGGTATCTCCAAGCTCGTTGTGCCCTGCTAACCCAAGCATTCAGACAACTCCTACCCTTATCGAACACGATGAATGATTCATCGCGAAACCTTCAGTTGGTTACGGTAACGGCGGGAAGTGACATTGAAAAAAGAGATGCTCAAGCAGAGAATAGTGTCGCCGCATCTCCCGCAGAGTCCCTTAAATGGGTCGGAGGTTTGAGGCTGGTGCTCATTGCAATAGGGTAAGTCGTTGATTCCACTGTTGGCATAATGCAACTCATCATGTCAAGGACCGGGCTAGCTTTGTTCATCGTTCAAACAGAGTCATCCGTCACTAGTACTACAATTGTTTCTATCACGAATGATTTGGGCGGATTTCAGGGCAGTTCGTGGGTCTTCACGGCATATCTCCTGACCTACGGAGGTGCGCGCTGCTTTCCTTAACGCTGAGTCCCTTCTAACCGGATGTCAGGCTTTCCTATCATTATTTCAAGACTCTCCGATATCTTTGGGCGGAAACAAGCCTTGTTAGCATGCCTTCTCATTTTCATCGTCTTCTCGGGGGCATGCGGCGCTTCGCAGTCTATCCTGCAACTGTAAGTCTGGAATATAGAATATGTTCGAGCAAAAGCGCTTATTTCCTTAAGCATCATGTTTCGGTGGATCAAAGGGATAGGCGCTAGCGGGATCACCGCAATCGCTACTCTCTACGGGTTTGAGCTCAGACCTCCAGACAAATGGGCTAGTTACGGAGCCATTATCAGCTTCACCATAACGATATCGTTGGCGGTCGCACCCATCATAGGAGCTGCTTTCGCGCAAATCGGCCAATGGAGGTGGGCATTCCTAATGAAGTAAGCGACACTGTGACATGTTGGAACTGCCTGGGCTAACGATCTTTTGCAGTGTTCCAATAGGGGTGACGACAATCATTATACTGTTATTTGCTATGCCAAACAGGCTTGTACTTGAACCAGCGGCTGCGCCCCCCCTTCGAGATTCCGCTGGGACCACTCTTAAGCGGTATCACAGCTTGTTTCGGCTCGACTTTCTTGGAGTCTTCACGCTCCTGGGCGCTTCTGTCTTCATAACTGCCGCACTACAGCAGGCCGCCAAAGGGGAGTCTTGGGAATCGGCCCAGGTGCTTGCTCCTCTTATCCTAGCACCAATTTTCCTACTAGCATTCTTGCTTTGGCAGTGGCGTGTAACGTCCCAGGACAAAGGCATCAACCCCATACTTTCGTGGAATCTCCTTACCAATAGAATATTCTTATCAGTGATGGCGTATGTGTCTTCACTCCTTTCATACAGTTGCACAGCTTGGCTAATCACTCATAGTAATTCATGGCTGGCCGGTGCCATTATGACCGTTACCATTATTCAAATTCCGCAGCGTTTCGTCCTCGTAAACGGCCTCTCGCCTATGGCCGCAGGAGTTCGCCTTCTCCCTTTTACCACGGTGATGGCATCCTCGTCTGTCTTAGCCTCCATCATTACTAGCAAGGCCAAGATTCCCGTCGTCAATGTATTGATCTTCGCGGGTCTTCTCATGATTGCTGGGACTGTAGGCCTCTCCCAAACACCTGTCTCCCCAGCTATATGGGGCCCACAGTACGGATTTCAGATCTTAGCCGGGGTTGGAGTAGGAATCTTCAACGTGATGGTGATTTTGCTCCCGCCGTACATTGTTGAGAGGCAATATCTCGGTACGTTTCTACCTACCAAGCAAGTGGAGAAAAAAGGGGGAAGCTAATAGTCTATACAGCTGTGGCCAATGGAGCAATGATTCAAATGCGCATTCTAGGCGGCGCTCTCGCACTGGCAATCACCACGTCTGCAGCCAGTCCCTCCCTTCGGCACAATCTTTTGAAAGTTCTGAGTCCGCAAGAAGCCGCAACTTTCTTGGATCGAACAGAGACTATTGCTATACTCTCGCCAACGAAGCAAGCTGCCGTTCGCGAGATTAATGGCAAATATTATGATCTTCAGATGAATGTTATGATTGGGTTTGCAGTGGCATCGGTGTTTTTTAGCGTACTACAGTGGCAGAAAAAGCCAATCATCCTCAAGGGATAATCGAGCTTATATTAGGCAACAAAATGGGGACGGCTCCGCTAGGACGATGACTACACCCTGTCCTCCATTCCGACTGAACACTATGTACTACAGGGATCTGGGAAGGGTGCTTTGGAGAGCAAACCTACGCATACCAAATTCGCCAAACTTCTGTAGACGGCTTATGGAGTGTTATGACGCGTTCTAATTATGAGAGCGAGGCTTGTGTTCAGTCGGATGTGGCGGTATGGCGTACAGATTGAGAAAGAGGTAATCAGAATCAAACTATAGTAAGTGGATATAGTAAGTGGAGAACGACATTCTTTCATAGCTGGTTTGCATAACGGTACATCAATTTTCGATGTCAGCTTCACTTCGTTATTATGCTACATGTTACTTAAGTGGTGCGTAAAAACAACCATCAAATTCTAGTCTTCGGACATACACGCAGTCGTGATCCCTCTGCGTGCGACCTTGACTGTCTCAGGAATTGCATTCTTCACCCCAATCCCTGGAACTTCATGCCCACCGTCATGCACATACTCCCACAAGTACTTCGAGTTACAAATCGCTTTCACACCCTTACATTCCTCCATCCTCGGATCCCCCTCCCCATACACAACAACAGTAGGAATATCAATCGCAGGAGGACCACCACCAACGTCATCAAGAACGCGGACCTCCTGTCTCTCTTGGTAGGCTACTGGATCGTATACCGACACAGGAGAAAAGAAGATCGCCACTTTAAATAAGGGAGGTGCGGAAGGTTTTAGATACTTTTCGCGTACAAGGAGCATCGCCGCCAATCCTGCTCCATGGGAATAGGCAATCACGCCGTCGAAGGGGCCTTCTTCTAAAATATATGCCTCCAGGTGGTCTAGTGCTGTCACAAAGCTGAACGGTGACGCGATGTCGTAGTAGGCGTAGTGCTGCTCCGAGGGATCGGACAGATTGCTCAGTTCTACAACGGGTTAGATTTGATCTCAGAGTAGTTGTGGTTGGTTGCTTTTACTGACCTGGGGGCAGGTCCCAAGGGACTACACCCTGTACGAACTCATAGGTGTGTTGGTCAGCGATTTCATATCGAAATGCAGCTGTTCGGGCAGTTTTGTTAGGCTGTTTTATCAATAAAGGTATAAGTTTTGATGTATACCTGTTTGCATCTGAAACACCTGCCATGCAATCAGCTCATGATCAAGCCAAGAGGTCATGTGTATGACAATTTTAAATGGCTGTGTACGCACCCTGTTGCTTGTCCCAAGCCCGTGAAGACAGAGAAATCTCATTTCGGCTATCACGTTAGTCCTTCTTGGGCCCTGGGGGACTATTTCAAAACTAAAGTAATTATTGGACAATGGTTCGATCGGTTAGTCATTTGATGAAGAGTTCCCCTTCTTACAAAACTTTAGTAAAAGTCTGGACCGGTAGGGGCCTGTATCTACTTTTAGAAGAGGGGTCTTGACACGGCGCAATATATTTTTTCTTCGTCTGCCGTGTTGCCTGGGTCAATCAGCCGCTGCGCCGCTGCCTTACTCTATGTTGCATTGGTAATATCCAACATCCTAGCCGTGTCCCAGTATCTGCCGATCCTAGCTCGGTGTTAAGTATTCCTCTCTATCTGGATGTTGATCTGTATTCTATCCAGTAAGAGGAGAATAATAATACCAAACCCCGGGTAGTCCGAACCCTGTCGTTTTAAGTCAAATCACACAGTGCACACCGTTGCGCACGGTCCAGGCTGACCCCACCTCGGCGAGGCTGGGGTGACCTCTACACCCATCGCATTTCGATGAATCCAATGCAGCAGGTCACACTAACGATATTAATTTCGATGATAAGCAAGCGCACGGTCCCCGTGTTTGCAATGGGGGCTGAAAATCATACTACGTACTTTGAAGAAACCTTCATTCGACAGGTTTGCTGGTTGCAACTTGCACATCACGCCTCACCATGTCCATACCAACGCCCGAACAGCTCATGCAACTGCCACCGGAGTATCTTGCGCAGGATAGCAGCAGGAGGCTCTTAGACACTAGTATCTCCTTCATTGTCGTTGCCACTGTCTTCTTTGGCCTTTTTGCCACGTCGCGCTTCGTTCACAATACCAGCGACTCCTGGGATGTATGGATCTTGCCTCCGTTTTCCTATATCTGTGTTCTTGGTCTCGCTGTCATCGGAATTCGTGAGTAGTGCGCCTCAAAAAAGAATTGATTTAGGAGGACTTATAGTGATGATAGTTATCGTTAAAATTGGTGGCGGCGGTCGCCATATTGAGTATCATATGCTCCACGATCCCATGGCGATCAAACGATACCTGCAACTTCAGACAGCAACTGAATTCATATATGTAGTTTCTGTCACCGTTCCGAAACTCACGCTATTAATACTTTACCTGAAGATTTTCCCTCACAACATCGTGCGGCACCTTACTTGGGCGATGATCGTTATCGTCCTGCTACAATGGTTGATCGTCGGTGTCATCGTCTGGGCCTCAATCTGCCAACCATTCAGGTACAAATGGGACAAGAACATCAACGGGCATTGTGCCAATCTACTTGCCTCGTACAGATACTTCAGTATTCCAAATATTATCACCGACATAGCGATTCTCCTCCTTCCTGTCTCGACAGTATGGAAACTGCAAGTCTCCAAGCTGCAAAAACTCGGCATCTTTCTCACTTTCCTCGCTGGTGGCTTGTGAGTCGTAGTTTGTCCTTGTTCTTGATTGAGTCAAATCTAATGAACATATGAAGGGGCATTATCGCCGCGCTCATTCGATTCGTAGGCTTCTTCACTGTCGATTTGAATAGAGACCCCACGTACTATGGCGTTACAACCATGCTTCTGTCTATCGCCGAACCAGGAGCTTACTTCATCTGCTCAACCTTGCCATATATTCGCCCATTAGCAACGAAGTTCTACAAGAGATCCGGTATGGCAACGGTAGTTTCTCGGTCAAGAGATGGTACCAACCTGCACTCAAGAGAAAGATCATCCAAACGCAGGTTCCCCGCTCCTGAGCAAGCCAAATCTAGCTACTCAACGACACTTTCGTCTTGGGGCCCTTCGGCCATTGATGATGATAGGGTCGAGTATATCGATTTGGTAGAGAGAGTTGAGGTCACCTCGAATCGTGAATGAAACTTATGACTAGCTGGTACTTGGGTTTGGCAGAGGAATGATGTTAAAATGATTTCTCGCATATTTCGTTTCACTAGCGGTGGGCATGAACTTATTGAGCGCCGCTGGAGTTTTACCAAGTTATTAAGTAGGAACTTCATTATAAAAATCGACAGACATTACTAGCAAGGGTCTTGATTTTATCCGTTGCACAAGAACTATTGCAAGGTTGTGGAGTGGAACCGATGAGATCATATGCATTGACTGGACAAATCCAAATCTCAACACCACCATCCTAAGTATCTACGTGGCCTAATTCGGTAGTTAGTCAGCCTTCATCAACTCCATACAGCGCTCCAGAGCTGCGTGGGCTTGGGTATGCCCCATGGGCTCGGTGGAGACTAAATCCATGCCCAACATTGCTCTTCACTTAAAGTAGAACGCATCTTTGCAATTCGGAAGGCCGCATACATAAATATGAAGCATCAATGAGATCATTGTTTGCGACCAAGATGAGTATTTTAACACTCGAAGTGCAATTAAGTTACAAGCACGGGCGGCCGTGGTCAATGTTAATCCCAGTATTGTGCAATAGTGAGGCCGGTCAATTCGCCCAGATCGGGATGTAATGTCTTCTTGTCACTTCCATCTGCATTCGCTGAATACAGCCCACCAAGCAAATCTGTCATATAGATTCTCTGCCCTTCAGGATCGTATGTAACACCAATCGCTTCATGCAACTTCCAAACCAGAAAGTTGAGCTTTATCGCCTCCAGATCATTCACATCTATCGCGGAGATGGTGTTCCCAAGGGGTATATCACCTCTGTCACTCAAGAACAGGATATTCCTTTGCGTATCGATGGCTAAGTCAATCGGTTCGGGAAGCTTCGACAGCAGAAGCTTCTTGTCTGATCGATTTTCCGGCGTTTCACCCTCAGAAATATCCAAGTTGGCCGTCCACAATTGCCCTTGAAAGCCTTTCGAGGGGCCCTTCTGCGTCCAAAAGATTTTGCGCCTTTCGTAGTCCACGGCGACGCCTACGCACCATTTTGTTTGATCCGAAACGCTGACTTCTAGCGGGCTAGGAACCGTTTGAATCAGTACCTCAGCATCACTACCATCTCGATTGGCCCTCCAGATCCTTGCGCCTTCTCGATCCGCCCAGTACAGCTTCTTGGACTGTGGTTCGAGGAGAAGCTGCTTCGGAGTCCACGTTTTGCCAGTCTCGATTATATCTTCGCGTCCGGTACCGTCGAGGCGGACGCGTGACACGCTACCGGTTTTTGTGCCGGGCATGCCCATTTGGGTGAAATAAATGTACCCTTCGTCGTTATCTACGGCAATGCCATCTGGGAGCGCGTACAGTCCTTCGCAGATGACTTTGAGGTTCGCGCCATTGAGGTCACATTTGAGGATTCGTCCTTGGGGGATGCCGTTCTTGTGCGCAGATGCACCAACGTCGAGAAAAACAAGGACGCGGGTGGTTTGCTTATTAGACATGATTCACAGAGGAGAGGATGAGAGGATGGAGACGTTCTTCAGCGATAAGCAAGTCAGCTTCGTAGTTCTGCGCTATCGTATGTCATTGCAGTCCCCCGTTGTCGATCCATTCCAACGCCACTTCCGCTGGCGCATCGAAGATCAATGCAAGCCGCTAAAGCTTAGATGTAGGTGGCTGACGGGCCGGCGGCTGACATCTCAACTCTCCGCTGCGTTCTTCTGTGGAAACGTTGACGGAGGCCGTGCTTTGCTACCGGAAGCAGCGTCAGCCGAGGTCCTTGAAATTCTCCACAGTAGTCTCTTTGCCTTCCAAGGTTGGTTCTTCGGTCTCCGCGATGCGCGCTGACAAACTGCCTGCTTGCTGCGGTGCCCAGCGCCTTGGGTGCAGTAGTGCCAGGCTTGCAGCAGCCAATGCCATCGGTATTTCTCATATCTTTTACCCTTACGTGTCCTGCGCGGACGGCTGACGGTTGTCTGCTATTTACGGAGTCCTGACATAGTGGATCGGGCACAAGGCATTGGGCTTAGCACAACTCCGCAACCATACAGCGTCTTTTCATCTCCGACTAGTATCCGTTCCGTGTCTCGGCGAGTGTTGATCCTTCTCCGTAACTCATTATTACAGCTCCCATCTTAGTTGCATCTGCAGATTTGAACGCCGTTTAAGGTCATGCATCCCCTCGTGATTAGTTGAAGAAACGCCTTGGCTGAAAATGCGGGCAAACGTGTAGTGCGGATTTCCTGTTTCAAGGTATCACGATCCGCAGCACCAGCACGAACCGATCGGGTGCGACGAGAAGCTGTACATCAATAACCGGCCCTTGTCGAATGCTTGATCCCGGTTTGGACAACTGCCTTGATTCATTTATCTGCTTAGGGCTGCCTAGGGCTGCCTGGTGCAGTCTTTTAAAACCAACATGTGTGACTTTGAACCGTTCATGCGGCATCGGTGCAGTTACCACTTTCGGCAATTCAGAGTTGAGGAATCATTAGAGACATTGATTCTAGGTTCTAGCGGAGATGGGGGCTAAATTGTAGAAGAAAGTTGAGCTAGATGTATGCTCCCTGAATTTCCCGACACATGTCAAGGGCCTGACTGTTCCGTAGAAAATTATCTTCTTCCTCATTTGACCTGAACGCAAATTTTTAGGTTCACATCGTAACATTGGAAAGCTCTAGTCCAGGACTAGTTTATCTTATTCACTATGTTGTCCACGGAAAATATAGAAAAGCATCTCAAGCCGTTGCTCTTTGACGACTCTGGGTATGTCTCGAGGGCTGTCCCTGAAAGTGGTAGCGATGCTGCTTTCGATTTACGAAGGCCACATCGACTAGGACTGCATCAATATGACCCAGACTCCTTTTCGAACGAGCGCACGGATTCTGTTGGAACCAGTGAATGCTCAAGCCAAAGGATTGACGAACCGATAGCTATTATCGGCATGTCGTTCAAGTTTCCTCAAGGTGCCGAGGACCCTGACACGTTCTGGAAAACCCTTTTGGATAGAAGATGTACAGCTACCGAGTTCCCCAAAGATCGGTTCAATATCGATGCTTTCTGGAATCATGACTCTAAAATGCCTAACCATGTAAGCCTTCTGGGCCTTTTGCACAATGGTATGGCTAATAATTCGAGCGATAGATCAAGCCTCGAGAAGCACATTTTCTCGAAGGCGATGTTGCGAAGTTTGATGCTGGCTTTTTCTCGATGCCACCGCACGAAGTCGGCTCTATGGACCCTCAACAACGAGGTCTGATGGAAACGACATATCATGCTTTAGAAAATGCTGGCCTGACTCTGGAAGATGTGTCAGGATCCAAGACATCTGTGCATATCGGATGCTTCACCAACGACTGGGCTCACATGCAATTGCGGGATACGCAAAACATTCCAAAATACAATGCGATCGGCTCTGCAGGATCCATTCTTGCAAATAGACTAAGTTGGTTCTATAACTTACATGGCGAAAGCATGTACATCGACACGGCCTGCTCTAGTAGTCTTGTTGCAATGGCTCTTGCATGTCGAGGTTTATCATCAGGGAGCTCTGATATGGCGATTGTGGGCGCCTCGAACCTCATCCTCGGGCCCGAATTCAACATCGCACTTAGTAACCTGAACTTCCTCTCACCATCCGGAAGATGCAAAAGTTTCAGTGCTGACGGAGATGGTTACGGCAGAGGCGAAGGATTTACAACCCTAATCCTCAAGCCGGTGTCCAAGGCGATAACTGATGGCAATCCGATAAGAGCTGTTATCCGATCCTTCGGTATGAACCAAGACGGCTATACCAGTGGAGGTATCACCCAGCCCAGTAAAGAAATGCAAGTGCAATTGATACGTGACACGTATCAAAGGGCTGGCCTTAGCATGGCTGACACTCGATTTTTCGAAGCACATGGCACTGGAACCGCAGTTGGCGACCCTATCGAAGCCAGGGCTATCGGCGAATCATTCCAGCAGTTTCGAAAAGATGACGACCCTATCTATGTAGGCGCTTTCAAGTCCAATTTCGGACATCTTGAGGGGACTAGCGGACTTGCAAGTGTGGTGAAGACGGTCCTCTCTGTCGAACGAGGAATGATCCCACCAAACACAAACTTTACGACTCTCAATCCCAACATCGACGCAGAGTTCTTGAAGCTTAGTTTCCCAACGAGTTGCGTTCCATGGCCCGCAGCAGATGTTAAAAGAGCTTCCGTAAACGCTTTCGGATTCGGAGGATCGAACGCGCATATCGTCATTGAATCTGCTGAAGACTTCCTACGAAGCATCGGCCATCAGCAAAATGTGCTCCCTCTATCGCTTTTCAGTAAGAAATCTCTAGCTGCTTTCCAAGAAGGGTCAAGGATTGACAATGCTGTAGCTAGGCTCGATATGGATACTCTCAGCGAAGTAGGCCTCCGCGATTCACGTCCCCAACTTCTTGTCCTTTCCGCAACAGACGAAGATGGAAACGCCAGACAGGCTAAGTCCCTGGCAACATTCTTCTCTCAATATACCTCAAGTAAATATGCACAACACAGCTTGCTTGAGGATGTTCTGTCAACCTTGAATACTCGTCGAACTTTACATGTGTGGAAGTCGTACGCAGTCCTTAGGTCGCTCTTCGACTTTTCAACGCTTGAAAATGCACTCTCAAAGCCAGTTCGCCGAGGCAATGAGGCGAATCACAGACTCGGGTTCATATTCACAGGACAAGGTGCACAATGGCCAAGGATGGGCATCGAGTTGCTGGATTGGCCAATAGTCAAAACTAGTTTGGCTCGTTCCCAGCACTATCTGCAAATATTCGGCTGCAAGTGGAAGCTAGTAGATGAGATCAGTGCTCCTCCAGAGTTAAGCAAGATGAACGAACCCGAGTTCAGCCAAGTGATCTCGACAGCTGTTCAAATAGCCCTAGTTGATATTGCAGAATACCTCGGTATTCGTGCCACAGTAGCTGTAGGCCATTCGTCTGGCGAGATCGCTGCTGCGTATTGTGTGGGGTTTTTGTCTCATGAATCCGCTATCAGAGTCTCGTACTTTAGGGGCATGTTGGCATCAAAGCTTTCGAAAGATGCTACTTCAGAACATCATGGTATGGCCTCCGTTGGTATTCTGGCTAAGGATGCGCCTGGTGAACTGGCAAAGCTTGAAGCAATGGAGCCAGGACGCTTCGAAGCAGCACGTATTACTATCAGCTGCATCAACAGTCCCAGCAATATCACAATATCCGGACCCCAAAGATACCTCGATGTTGTCGTGGAGCATTTCGCAAGCAAGAATATTTTTGCTAGGAAACTCAAAGTCGATGTAGGATACCACTCCCCACAAATGCAGGCGGTGTCAGAGGAGTATTTAGCGTCTCTGTCCAACTTGACGGCGAGAGATAAGTTGGGTAAGACCCACATGGTATCTTCGACAATCCCTGGTCGTGTTTCTCGGGAGACTGTTTGCTCTGGAGAATACTGGGTTCGCAACATGTTGTCCCCTGTACAGTTCGTTGACGCCATGCATCTTTGCACTTCCATCTCTGAAAACTATGAGATAGTAAAGAAGATTGATCAAAGCCATAACCTTGACGTTCATGTACAAGGGTGGTTGGAGATCGGTCCTCATTCGGCATTGAAAGGTCCTTCTCGAGAGATATCTAAGGCCCAAGGCGCTGGGGACGTCTTCTACACATCTTTTCTTCAGCGAGGAAAGCCAGCAGATATGACTACTTTAGCTGCTATTGGAGAGCTCCACTGCCGTAATTTTCATGTTACGCTCACAAAGATTGCTGCATTGAATGCCGAACCCGATCGTCAACCGCGTATCATATTGGATCTGCCAAAATATCCGTTCAATCATTCTACGATCTATTGGGACGAGCCTGCTAGGTCGAGTGCTTTCAGGCATCGGCATCACAGATATCATCCGCTTTTAGGTGCACCTGCAATGGACTGGAACCCTCTCGACGCGAAGTGGATATGGACCATGAAAACGGATGAGATGCCATGGGTTACCGACCATCAAATCAACGGCAACATACTCTACCCCGCCTCTGGTATGATTGTAATGGCGATTGAAGCCATAAAGCAGCTTCTGAAGGATCACGCGGAACCGCTGGGTTTTGAGCTATCAGAACTCTCATTTTTGGCTCCGCTTGTCATCGCAAATTCCTCCGGAAGGACCGAAACTCAGCTGAGCATGGTACCGATAAGTAATGCCGGAAGCAAAGACGCGCAATTTAAGTTTCGTATCTTTACCATGCGTTCTAATAGTACTTGGCAAGAGATTTGCCATGGAAATATTGAAGCCGACTATGGACGCGTAGCTCAAAGCGTCTCTGCTCAGGCCGAAGAAAAGTTTAAGTTACTCGAAGCTCAGATGGGTCACTATTCTGCTTTGAAGTCTTGCCGGAAGACTATCGGCGCTAGCGATATGTATGAGAAAGTCGCCGCCATGTCAGGGTTGCAGTATGGTCCAACTTTCCAGCCTCTGTCAGATATTCACTATGATATGGACGGAAGAGCCTACTCCAAGATTCTTTCGTACACACCTTCCGCACCAAACCACTCTTACACTATCCACCCCTCGACTTTGGATGGCGTCTTCCAGTTAGCGATCCCATCTCTCAGCAAGGGCCTTACAGTCCCTTTACCTACATTAGTACCTTCTCGGTTAACTCGGCTATGGATATCAACACTTGGCGCTGGTCATGGAGGACCAGAGGAAGAGATTGCAAACATTCAAGCGAAATTTCTAAGCAGAAGGAGTGCTGAGGGCTCATTCACGGTGTTTTCACAGTCTGATTTAAGCCTCCGTGTGGCAGTAGACGAACTCGAGCTTACCGAACTAGCGCGTGATGACAGCAGCGCAGATATGGAAGAAAACGGCAATGCGTTATGCTACGAAATGGAATGGAAGGCTGATCATTCCATCCTAAGCCCCGCCGAAATTTCGGATTACTGCATGCAGCAACGCAAGAGCTACGAGGAACCAGAGCAGTTTTACCAAGACATCGAGCTTATGCTATTAAGTTTCGCTGCACAGACTTTGAATGACATGAAAGCATCTGACCAAGAGCCGATTCCTTCAATGATCGACTATGCAAGATGGCTGCAATCAAGGATTGATTCATATTGCATCTCGGATGGGCATGGATCAAATCTGTTGGGTCATCTGGACCGACATGCGTTGATTCACAACACCGACACACTAGAAAAGCTCACCGAGAGCGTAGAGTCGCACTCAAGTCGAGGAATGGTCAACGCAACTGTGGGTCGCAATTTAAAAGGTATTCTACTTGGTCAAGTAGATCCTCTACAGCTCCTTTTCCAAGATGACAATTTCTTGCTCGAATTCTATGAAGAACTCAACACAGCTGGGAAAGCTTTTGACATGCTCAATGCATACATTGACTTATTAGTTCACAAAGACTCCGGTTTAAAGTTTCTCGAGATTGGCGCTGGTACAGGCGCGACTACCACAGGGGTCCTGAATGTCCTCGAGCGACAGGATTGTGGTACTCGCTATTGGACGTACACCTTCACCGACATAAGTGCTGCTTTCTTTTCCAAAGCACAAGAAAGATTCAATGCGTTCGGAGACCGTATAGCTTACCGTGTCTTGGACATTGAAGAGGACCCGGTAACTCAAGGATTCCATCCAGAAGATCAGTTCGATGTCATCATTGCAGCGCACGTTCTGCATGCCACCGAAAACCTAAACACCACTCTTTCGAATGTTCGAAAGCTTCTCAAGCCTAATGGCAAGCTTATCTTTACTGAGATGACTACCCCCAACAAGATAGAGACAGGCTTCATCTTCGGCACGCTTCCTGGGTGGTGGCGCAGCGCCGAGCAATGGCGCAAAGCGAATGCCAGCGCTGTTTTCCTTGAAGAAAAATGGGACACGCTCCTAAGGCATTCTGGTTTCACTGGTACCGAATACGTCTTCCGAGATTGGGACTCTGATCGGTGCCATGGTTGGAGCATCATGATATCTTCCGCCAATTTCGACGACGTCAAAGGTAGAACAACGATGAATAGGCCAATTCAAACTCCGCTAGCATTTTTGGTGAATAAACATTCGAGCTTCGAGATGGAGACTGCAGATATTCTCAAGCAGTCATTGGCGGAAGATATGGGCTTGGCGAAGATCATAACATTTGACGATGTCCCTCAGGTGGAAGACCTCCCAGCACGCCATTGTTTGATTCTTGGAGGGCTGGAGAAGGCGATGCTTTCTGAAATTGTACCAGATGATCTCAAAGCCCTTCAAAAAGTCCTCACTTCATCGAAGAGTATACTATGGGCAAGCTGTGTCAACCCACCATCTGCTACTGAACCTTCCCCGTACTGGGCTATGACTGAAGGTCTTTGCAGAACCTGCCGGAGTGAAGACATCAACATACCAATTGCTACAGTAATCCTCGAGAGGCCTACGTGCGAATCAGCTAGTAAAGCCGCCTCCCAAATTGCCAAGGTGTTTACAGCCTTCCAGCATGGCATCACGACTGGGTTCGTAGAGCCAGAGTACAAAGAATCGTCTGGTCGACTTTGCATCAATCGATTGACTCAAGCGAAATACCTTGACGATCATGTATCCGCTCGGACTCAGAAGAAAGTCGTGACGCAAGAATTCAAGAAGGATATGCCCATTAAGCTCGACATTAGAGTCCCAGGATTTCTTGACACTTTACAATGGGTAGACGACGAGAGTGTCTACGAACCTTTGGAGCCACATCAAGTTGAAGTCAAAGTCCAGGCAATCGGGGTCAACTTCAAAGAATGCCTGATCCTACTCGGACGAGTCAAGACTGATAAGCTAGGTAGTGAATGCGCTGGCTACGTACACAGAATAGGTTCTGCAGTCTCCAGCGAGTATGTCAAAGTTGGCGATCGCGTAGCTCTTGGATCCTTAGAGTCCTATAGAAGCTTCGTCAGAGCTTGGGATTTTCAAATCATCAAGATTCCGGACAATTTGTCTTTCGTAGACGCTGCAGCTATTCCAACCGCGTTTTGCACAGCCTATCACAGTCTCATAAACGTTGCGCGCCTCCAGAAGAATGAATCGGTGCTGATACATGCTGCGGCCGGTGGCACAGGACAAGCCGCAGTTCAAGTTGCGCAGCATGTTGGCGCGGAGATTTTCGCAACCGTCGGATCTGTTGAGAAAAAGAATTTACTCATGGAACAATACGCAATTCCAGAGGATCATATATTCTTTAGTAGAGATTCATCCTTTGCCGACGGTGTCAAACGCATGACTCAAGGTCGAGGTGTGGACGTTGTCCTGAACTCTCTCTCTGGGAAGTTGCTCATCGCTTCGTGGGAACTGATAGCCAATTTCGGACGATTCATTGAAATCGGTAGGAGAGACATAGATTCTAGAGGACACCTTCCGATGCACCCCTTCATTAGAAACGCCACATTCAATGGCGTAGATCTGGCGACTATTGTGGAAAACCCGGAACAGAAAGACAAGTATTGTTTGCAAGAGGTCTTTGACTTGGTGGAGCAGGGCGTCTTTCACGCTTCGTACCCTGTCCAGCCGTATCCAATAGATCAGACTGAACAGGCATTGCGAATCCTTCAGAGTGGAAGGAGTAGCGGTAAGATCGTCTTAGAGGTTACTGAGGGGGCTGTTGTTCCGCTCCAAGAAGGTCCAAATTCTCGATACCGTTTTTCAGAGAACGCTACATATGTGATTGCTGGTGGTCTTGGAGGAATCGGTCGCCAAATTACTACCTGGATGGCCAGGCGAGGTGTAAGGCATATCTTGGTTCTCTCGAGGAGTGGTCTCGGAACCAGTGAAGAGAAGCGCCGAGTCATCGCCGACCTTGAAGCGAAAGGTGTGAACGTCCAATATGGTGTTTGCGACATCAGTGATCGCCAGGCGTTGGAAGACACTATACAGAAGGCTTCCGCCACAATGCCACCCATCAAGGGCTGCTTTCAGGCAGCTATGGTACTACGGGTTAGTCCTAATCGGCATACTTTGGTTACAGATTGAGAATCCTAACTCATCATAGGACCGACCTTTCGGAACAATGTCTCATGAGGAGTGGACCGAAAGCGTCAGACCCAAGGTTCAAGGGTCATGGAACCTCCACGCCGTCCTTCCATCCGGCATGGATTTCTTCGTCATGCTTTCTTCCACAAGCGGCATCTTTGGCAACGCAGGACAGAGCAACTACGCTGCTGGCAACACCTTCCAGGATGCTCTAGCGCAATATCGGACTATATCGGGAGAGAAAGCAATAGCTTTAGACCTCGGAATGATTCTCGGCGAAGGCTTCGTGGCCGAGAACAAAGATATCTACGCGAAGCTTCTTCGACTGAACTTGCTCCAACCACTCAGACAGGAAGAAATCTTCGCCATTTTTGACTTTTACTGCAATCCGGACACTATTATTAACTCGGTCAAAGCCAGCCAGGTTACTACCGGCATTGAGTTGCCTGCCAGTATCCTCCGAAATGGTCACAAGGTTCCGGAAGCGCTGCAAAGAAGCCTGTTTAGCTTATTACACCAGATTCAGCCGACTGGAGTTGAAGCTACAATTGGGACAGCAAACACGCAAGATTTCTCAGCCCTTCTTAAAGAAGCTACGACTATCCAAGAGGCGGGGGTGATCGTTGCCGAGGCGCTGAAGAACAAACTATGCAAGATTCTTGGTGTCGAGCCGGACGAGAGGTCGGTTAACGACCGCATGGAATCGTTTGGCGTGGATTCGCTTCTCGCTCTCGAGCTGAGGAATTGGCTATTACGGGATATACGTGCGGACCTTGCAGTGTTCGAGATTTTAGGGGATTCAAAACTCGGTGATATTGGATTACTAGCCGCGAGGAAGAGCTTGCTATTACAAAAAGAGGGCAAAGAAGCATAACAGCAGTCAGTGTAAAGACCATTTGGTCTGCTTTTGGTCCTTTGGTATAGCCAGCTCTGATTTCGATAAAAAGTAGTAGAAGTCGCATGATACCCGTGGACATGCCCCTGACTCTACAGTGTTCATCTTACGCAAGTTAATGCATGGGCTCTTATCTTCAGGGACTTAGTCGGGATTGGAGCTGCGGTTTTCAAGAAGGAAGTCTCATCTAGAAGTTGATGGAGTCGATAGACAATAAGCCTCTCTGTTTTCGTATACAATACTTCTCTCCTTGCCCATCGCTCAATGATATCCGTGAAGATATTCTCAAAATTGTACAATTAGAAGCCAATGTAGGCTTAACACTCATGCTGGAGAGTCGCGTAAGTGTCTAATATATGAATGGGTGAGAAAAATTGTGATGCGAGCTCTGTTGGTGTCAGCCCCTTCATCTACTGTATTTAAAAATCGATGCAATTTCTTAGCGTCACCGTCCACTTTTTTTCACCGGCGTGTTGTCTTGTAAACTGTAAACCGCGCTGTGTAACTACTAAATTACTCTAAATCCTAGTTAATTTTAGTTAAAAAACAATAAAGCTAACATGTTTTCTAAGTAGCTGCTTTCCTAAGTTTTAACTAATACAAGACTAATACTATAATACTACTACAACACAGCATGCAAAAGCCTATTGAAAAAGAGTAATATAGCTTACTATTCTAGCAGTTTAGTAAAACAAAATTAAAAACAAAAGACATAACGTGCATCCTCGTGTAACAGAACAACCGCTGTAACAGAACATATTATAGGTACTTCAACTTTAGAGCAATAGAACTTCTTTCTACGTTCTAAATTTAACTATATTTAACTTAAGTTAGATTCTAAGACTATTTCTTTTATGCTACAACACTACTTACTAAAAAGTTACGCTTATGTTAAAGTGTAACTACATAATTTGCAAAGAGCCTTATGTTAAGTAAAAACTAGCCTTTTACACTAGAAGATTATAACTAACCTTATATTACTTTTATAACCTTTTAAGCAACTCTGTAAGATTTAGAGAACTCTATAGCACTACTAAGAAGTAATAATTAGCTATTATTAATTAAAATAAAAATTAAGACATTATAATAAGTAAAAGAATAAAGTAGATAGCATAGTTACTAAATTTATTAAAAAATTACTAATAAAACAGGCACTAATAGCGTTCTTTATATTAATCTCTAAACATAAGCCTTCTAGCCCTTAGTAACTTACCTTTAACTGCCTAAAACTATTAAAAATCCTATATAACTACTATAAACAGTTAGTACAGCAGCCTTATGTATAGTATAGTATACTAAGTAGATGCACTGTACATACGTACGTGACTAAAATCAGTGTACTGCAGTACTGTACTATTAGGTGTACTAACAGTTGAACACACTAGCTAAGTTTAATCACAAGGCTGCGGAGCTTTAGTCGGCCCGCTTGCTTAGACTTTACACAGCCACAAGTCTAACAGCAACAACCCTGTTCTGTTAGACTGCGTTACGATTATGTTATAATCCTGTGCTAGCTAAAATTAGTAATCATTCTAATTAGAGGTACTAACTAGGGTAGCGACCCTACATGAATTAAGAGCGCCTTATAGCCTTACATAGTTATCTTAGCATATTACTATTTTATAGACTCTATTTTTACAGGCTTTATCCTTATAAGCTTTATTCTTACATGCCTTATCTAGCTATTCTACTACTTAGATATATTATACTGCCTTATTCTAACACTTAGAGAAGGCCTGTATAGCCTTACTTAGCTTATCTATGCTGTCTTTACATAAAGCAACTTCTTTAAAGCATATATAAGATAACTAGGCTAAGAAGCACCTAGATAATGCTTACTATAACATTAAAATTACCTTTAAAATTAACTAGAATAATATATAGTGTTCTAGCGTTACATTAAGCGTAAAGTAGCTAAAATATTATATAAAACATAAGTTACAAATTTTTAGGCGTTAAAAGGTGTTATTTATATAAAAAATATAGTGCAGATCTGCAGCATGTTACTAAGGTAAGTAAGAAGAAGCAGCTATAGCTTTATTAAGCTTACTATAAAGCTAGTGTTTAAAAAGCAGCTAAACTTATTAGTAGTAACATTTATATAGTAAGGCATCTTAAGATAGTTTATAAAATTAATGCTAACATTAGTATACTACTAGATAGCCTTTAGAGGCCCTTAAATCCTTTTATAGCAGCAGTAGAGGTAGCAGGAGTAAGGCAGCAGGTAGCTTATACGCTGTAGCAGAAGAGTGCTCTAGCGCAGGTGTTTATTATAAATAAATAATATATTACATAACTTTTATAAGCTAATTTTATAGCTAACTTATAAAAACTAGATAATAATAAAAAGTAGACAATTATTAAGCACATACTTTAGCTATATATGTAAGAATTTTCCTCTTAGCTAGTAGCTATAGCTAATATAGCTAATTTTTTACACGCTAAGCATAATTTAAGCTATATTAGTATAAACTAGCTTAGTATATTTATAAAGTGTTATCTAAAGCTTAACATAAAGTTTTAAGCATAAGTATAGTTAGTAAATATTTAGCTTATTATAAAGCCTATTTTATTAAAGTTAGATATATTATTATTTTAAATACTATACTTAGCTTTAATATTCTTTATAAGACTAAACTACTTTAAATTACTTTAAAAAATTTCTAAAAAGCTTTTTTATAGTTACAGTTATACTTAAACTTTTCTTTAAGCTTTAAATAACACTTTATAAATATACTAGGCTAGTTTATACTAACATAGCCTAGATTATGCTTAGTGTGTAAAGAATTAGCTATATTAGCAATAGTTGCTAGCTAAGAGGAAAATCCTTATATATAGCTTAAGTATATGCTTAATAATTACCTGCTTTTTATTATTATCTAGCCTTTATAAGTTAGCTATAGAATTAGCTTATAAAAGTTATCTAGTGTGTTAGTTATTTATTATTTTTTAAAAAACTTTATATATAGCTGCAGCATGTTACTTTAAAAGTATTACATTTTATTTAAAAGCCTAGAGTGTAAGCTATATCTAACATTCTTTTAGCACATTTAAGTAGTGTTATTAGGAATGCATTAGTATAGAAAAAGTAGTTTAGTAGGGTCTTAGTAAAAGTAAGCAACTTGCCTGTAGTGTACGTTATATAGTCACGCTATTTTATTTATTTTCTCTACAACCTTATTATATCTTTAAACTAGAGTAGGTATTATATTTAACATATGTAAAGTTTTAAAACTTTGTTATTATACTATTAACAAGTAGTTGTCTAATACAATATGCAAGAAGTCTGTGGTAAACTTAGGCTGCTGGCGGACGCGAAGAAAGCACTTGCCGAGCTTAGGGAGGGTGGGTGAGCCTCTCAGGCCACACTCTTGTTCAAGGGCGTTGGCGTGGATGAAGACAGACTTTACGTGTTGTGTGGATACTAAGTAGGCAGTGTCGTGGACACCAGTATGCATGGAATGGTCCCTGAACTGGGCACTTGGAGCGGGATTCATTGTGGGGACCAAAACGGGGGTTATGGCCAGCCAGGTGCAACTAAGAATTCACCTGTACTCACCTCAAGGGCAAGGAAAGAACGCGGGATCTGTAGATGCAAACATCATTTGATTACTGTTCAACCAATCAAGGGAAGCACCCGTGTATTAGTGCTCAACTAATCTGTTCCCATGATTTTCAGCTTACGATAATAACAAAAGGATTAAAACCTTCCAACTAAGCCAAATCTACCTATACTACGGTATCCAAGGGCTTCTTTACCTGCCCAAGAGAGACTACACGCAAGAGAAGATCCGTCAATCCTCCCTAAATCATCGCTTCTCCTCTAGAAGGGCCACCTTCCACGACTCCTTTACGTAAGAAATCAAACAATGTGCAGAACGCGACGAAGTTCTCATCCATTTCCTTGCCAAACTTGACCTCTTCATCTATAGAGCCTTTCTTGATTTTTGAAAGATCTTTAGAGCCCTCACAGTTCCACACCTAAACTTTTCACACGTCATCTTGTCCGTTTCAACTAATGCAATGAATTACAAGTCCAAAACATTGCTGGCGCGGACCCTCGTCGCCACAGCAGTATTGTTAACTTCCAGGCTTGGGGCTACGAGAGGATTGCTAAGGCCATTGTAACTCTGTGCACTAGTTGTTGTCTAGTGCAGTACCGTCCGTAAAGGGAATGTGCAATACGCTGAACTTTCATTTTCAACTCGAGGCTCAATGGGCATAAGCTTGGGTGGATTTTGTGGCAAAGACGGCTGAAAACTGGAGTCTTTGTGCTCCCTGGTTTGGTGATGAAGATCGCAGTGCTCGCTCGAGAAGCCTGCCGGCCCGTCGTGCATGTCATTGGTGTTGTCCAAGCTGCTAGCAGCTACAGCAGGTTGTGGAGGGTGTCTGTGATGATCTTCTGGTATAGGCGTTGGATATGACGGTGCCGTCGCCGCTGCGCTTGGCGAATGATGCGAGGAAGGTTGTCGAATGTCTGGTTGTATGGGCGCTGTGATGTAAGATGCAGTTGATTCGTAGATAGCACCGCTGCTCGTCATCACGGGTAGTGCAGATCCGTAAACCGGCGTTGTCAGTATCGGCTTATGATCCTGTCGCCTCCTAGATGTCTTAGTCATAGCATATATAGCTGATTGCACGGTTGAACGAGGAAGCTTAAGCGATAAGGCAATAGCTCTTTGGCTCCACCCCAAGGACTGGGAAAGGGTATAGATCTGGCATCGCTCCTCATATGTGAGGTGAGTACCAGGATCGCTGGTTCGGTTGCTTTGACGCTCAGGTGGCCTAGAACGTGGTCGGCGGATAATGTTTGGCATATTGAGGAAATGCTTGGGTATTTGCGACAGTGAAACTAGGCCCTAACAGTGGATGGTTCGAGATTAGTTGTGTTTAGCACCCGCCCATGTGTCTGCCATACCGGTTAAGCTGAACTCTATCCTAATCGTGTTGCTTATATGGCTCCTCGCCTCGCTTTCTTTTGAACGGCTGGCGAGTCGGGGAAGACGGCTTTTTCGTCGACCTGAGGAGTAAGGGAGACGGGGATACGACGCTTAAAGGCGGTGCAATATGTGGATTATATTCTGGGGATGGTATGAGTAAGGCCGCATCGCGAAGATGAAGAGTGATCGGGGCAAGCACACGCGTGAGGTTTTGGGATTTCGGCAATATTCGGCAAGGCTTGAGTTGACTCAGCAATAGCTAGTGCATCCCCGCCACGATGCCAACTCAACAACGTTGTCGGTCCAGCGCCCACTGCCTTGTAACGTTAGGAATTATACGCCCACAAATAAACCAGATAGCAGAGGCATTATCCCTTCGAAAACTCGGTTTTGAAAACCAATAACATGGGTGAGAAACTTTTCCTTTTCAAAAGCCTGTCTCTTGAAGGCCGGTGCGGGTCGGCCGTCCTCCCTGTCTGGTGACAAAATCGAGTGACAAGCTACTCTCATTACTCGGCATTTTTGTCTAGCGTAAGGTGCTCCAGCTAGAGCAGCGGAAGAAGTATAACAACAAACCGCGAGACGCCGTATTAAGCTATCTATCCTTAAACGCGGACAACACCTTCCCCTGGTTGGCTTTGGTCTCTCAAAACCTTCAAGAGACCCCATGATGAAACACGCTTGCGAAGTGGAATGCATTCCCGCCTGGACTCAACTGTGTCTACGAGCGGATGATGCAGCAGATCCTAGTGTTGGTCGCAATTGTATACCAACCTATTACACATCTAGAGCTTAGATCTCTTATTGAATCGCTCAATGATACAGCCGAGGATCTTGAGTCAGTACAGAAGGTGATAGGTCTGTGCGGCTCTTTCCTCACGAACTGAGGAGACACTATCTACTTTGTACCTCAATCAGCAAAGATTTTCTATTTGCAAAGGCCGCTAGCGAAATCTTTCCTTCCAGAATAGAGGCCGCCCACTACGCAGCCTTCTCAAGGTCGCTCGAATTCATATCGGCACTTCGGCGAGATATGTACAGTCTCCGTGAGTTAGGGGATCCTGCCGAGCTAGTGGAACTGTCAGACCCAGATCCCTTAGCGGTGTCACGTTACTCGTGTGTCTACTAGATTGATCACCTTGACAATTGGAGTCGTAGCTCCGCTGCGACTTTCTCAGTTGAGCTGCGAGACGGGGGCGGCGTTCACGAATTCGTAACAAGAATACCCCTACTGGCTTGAGACTCTTAGCCTGTGCAAGAGCCTGTCGAAGGGGGTAGTCTCAATAGCAAAACTCAAGATATTAGTTAACGTAAAGCTTCACCCTGAACAACTAAGACTATATATTATGCGTGCTAATACAACCTAGGGACGAGTAGATGCAGCTGTGTTTAATGAACCAGTTCAACATGCACATCGTTCTACTATAGCCCATAAGGGGCAATAGAGAACAATCCTCTGCAGGCATACGCATCTGCACTTCTGTTCAGTCCTGCATACAACGTTATCAGGGGTCTTTTTAGGGAAGAAAAGCCGCAGTGGATCACGATAAAGCCAGATATAGGAGATGGATGGAGTGGTGCCTCCAGACGCTCAAGCGGTCTATATCAGACGGCACGGACTTTGGGGCTAAATACAGCTCGCTTCATAAGCCAATAGGCAAACAGCGTCATGTCAGCGACTCTGGTGTGCAATTCACAGATTTGCAATGGCTAATGGGTGAAATTTTAGTTTGCAGTAAGGAAGGTCTTAGAAGAATACACGGGAAGTGTTAAGGACTAGAAATCTAACTAGAGGCTAGGATACTACTTCAACACATTCAGCATACCCCCATCGAAGCACCCCTCCTGGAACACCTCTTAGGATACCTTGTAAGCCGCCTCACAGTCCGCCTCTAGCTCAGATACTTCAATATTCCCACTGCGCACCTAGGACTATATCCATCTTTAGTTACAATAAATCTCTAAGTCCACCTCCTCTTTTCCTACAAAGACATCCTAGTGCTTTCCTCTACTAACAGATGTTATTCCTATCTCCTTAAATTGCTGCTAAACACCTTAGCCTAAGCATCCCTCTAAACCCTGTTAGTGGCTCTAAAGTTATAGCTGTTATCCTCGCCGTCGCCACGCTCGTAGTAGCATTTCTACATCTAAGACATGGAAACCTTATGTCTATAGAAAGAGCTGTCGCACGTGAAACTGGTTCACGTGACCCAGCGCAGGGTGAAAGTAGGTCCTTCACCTCTCACCCTTTTCCTGTTCAGGACTAGCGCTCTTTTAGCTACTATATATTTACCTCTGAGCTCTCTCGAGCTCTAGGGACCTTACACCTCACCTCAATCTGCCTAGGTCGTCTCTCATTATCTAATTGACTGCTCCATGCTCTCCACCATCAATCAGCTCTAACCCTGCGATAAGAACAACAGGAATACCTTTGTTAGAAAACTATTTCTTAATTCTCTTTGTATTATCCACTGTAGCTGCTGCCACATTAGGGTTTCAATAGGTTAAGCGTTTGCAGTAGTCACACGATAGTCGAATGCGTGGTCACCATGGTCGGATGCGTCGTCACCATAGTCGTATGCATCTCACCATAGTCGTATGCATCTCACCATAGTCTATGTTGCCAAGACTTACCCACTTATTTCGCATATATATAGACTCCTACAAAGCACTCCTCTAGCAATCAATGCAATCCAGTTCCTCATGCCTCTAGTGCTTCACATAGCTTCACAGTTATGAGCCCGGCAATCGCTTGCTAGTCAATCGAGCTGTTTTCAAACCTATACTAGGGAGAGCTCCTTTAACACCCTGCGTACAATTGTGACCTCTTTGTCACGCCCTACCACCTTAAAGTCGCTCTTTTACAGCCTTTAGGTATCTTTTAAGACCAATCTTAACCTTGTGGTCTAAAGAGGCGACTTAAAGTCTCTACTTCGCTAGTCGCATCAATCGCGACCTCTACAATCTCCTAAGTACGCTACCAAAGCTCTCAGTCGAGCATCTCAAGGACAAGCTCGTCCACCTCAAGGACAAAAACCGTCCACCTCAAGGACAAGCTCGTCCACCTCAAGGACAAACTCGTCCACCTCAAGGACAAGCTCGTCCACCGCAAGGACAAACTAGTCTATCGCAAGGACAAACTCGTCCACTGCAAGGACAAACTCGTCAACCTCAAGGACATACTCGTCCACCGCAAGGACATACTTATCTACCTTAAGGACAAACTTGTCTACCGCAAGGACTATTATAACCCCTAACTAACTACGTTATTAATATAACAGACTCTTCTAATCTGCTAGTTTTAAAGACTATAATTATACTTAATATAACTAACAACCACACCTAATAAATCTACCTCTAAAAGTTAGTTACGCAGCAGCTGTTTGTATACAAATACTGCAACCTAAAGCTCTTAGCAGCTAAGGTAAGAATACTAGAAGACAAACTAGTTAAACTAACAGACAATAATTATTAATCTAACGCTACTAAACTATCTAACATAGATGTAAAAAGCCTATCTAACTATACTAATGTCCATCCACGCGTAACGGAACAACCGCCGTAACAGAACAAACTAAAGGTACTTCAATTTTGAAGCCACAGAACTTCTCCGCGCGTCTTAAATTTTACTATGTTAACCTTACATTACATGCTTAGACTATTTCTAAAGCGCTACAATCCTATTTAAATAAAAATTACTCTTGCGCGGACGTCTTGCTACATAATCCGCGAAGAGTGTCATTTTAAAACAAAACAAGCCTTGTACGCTAGAAGGCCGCCACTACGCTTACATTACTATCGCAACCCTTTAGCTGTCTCTATCAAAGCTAGAGAATCTAATGGCACCTACCACGAAGTAATAATCAGCCGTAGAGCTGCTGGTAGCGCTCAAAATTATTCAGGCTCGCCACCCAGGTCGGTGCCTTTGATCGGAACGACTGCCAATTCTAGCTAGCGCAGAATTACTACAGTTAACTCTCAATAGCGCAATACAATTCTAGAACAAGAATTATATTGTTATATTATAATATTATTGTAGTAAGAGGGTTATGTAATCTAACTATCTAAAGTGCTCTAAACAAACTGCTTAGACTTTTAAGCCTTTACTTTAGTATATAGCTGCTAGAGCGCTCTAATCTGCTAGAGAGTTGTTAAATCTGTATGCTCTTAATATAAGAGTAGTAATTTAAGAGCCTGCTCTACCTACATAGAGGTAGGTATTTATATAAGAGGCCTTTTATTATCTAATTTATTTTTAACTAGCTACTAGCTATATATTATAATTACATTTACTATATTAAAGTTAGATTAAGTAGGCTTATAATTTTTATTAATAAGATTTAAGAAGTTTTTAAGGCTTATAATGTTCTAAATCCTGCCTATATGCTACACCTGCTAGTAGAGCTTTTCTAGCTCCTACTAAGACTACTTTTTTAGATTAAGTAAGTAGATTAGTTTTTATAAAGGCTAGATTCTAGCTTAGTAAAAGTAGTAATAAATTATATTACTTTAAAAGTTATTATACTAGGCTTAAGAGGCCTAGTGTAAGGCATAGTAGAGGTTAACTTAAGTTACTAGATCTGCGCTATGCTTATAGCTAGCAACTATATAGCATATTTATTACTTTTTATATAAGCGCTTAAACTAACTAATTACGCCCTAATTAAGTAGCTAGTAGACGCTAGTTAAGTTAGTAAGCAGCTATTAAATGCAGATATTTAGTAAAGGTAGTTTAAAATTAACACTAAAAATATAAGCACTATAGTTATTTATTAGTAGCAGAATAGACCTAGTCTTTTTTATTTACTAATAAAAGGCCTGTAGCTAATTTATTATAATAGTATACATTATTTACACCTTAGAATTTAACAACTATTAAATGCTAAAAGCTTTAAAGTTAATAGATTATAAAGCATGTAGTCTAGCTACTTTTCTAATAGCTTAAAAAGTAAAGCGCTTACTGCTAGTAAAGTTATAGCAGCATATAATTAATATTTAGTTTTTATTTTTTTTCTTACTAAGTTAAGCTCTAGTAGAAAGCCCTAATAACAGTGCCTACTGCTAATATAGGCCTGTCTTATCTATATTAAATATATTCTGCTTTGCGTATTCTTTACACAGTGTTCTAATAGCCTTTATCTTCTTTTTAGCCTTAGCTAGCACTAACGCAGCCTTACTCTAGTGTTAATAAAGCTTAATATTATACTATTGCTTAAAGTTAGTAAGCTAGCTTAAGCTAAACTCTAGTATAAAAAAGTTAGTGTAATTAGGTATTTATAGCTAGATAGCCTTTACTTTTTTAATAAGAATATTGCTAGGGATGTTACTACTAGAGCTCTTAAAGTGCTGCTGCTAGTTAAAGAGGACAGCTTTAAAAATAGGCTACTGTGCCTGTTATTAATGTGTGCAGGTAGTAGCAGAGCTACTGTTAAAGTAGCTATATTACTTTAAAAGGGACTCTAATACTGTTAACTAATAGATGTAATAGTTATACTTTTGCTTAAACTACTTAATTACATTAAGCTGCTTCTAGCTAGAACCCTAATGTTAATACTATTAACACAGAGCCTGTTACTGCTTATTAGTAATTGCTATATGTAGCATTTTATCTTTTAATATAACAATAATCTAGCTAAAAGCTTGTAATATAGTAGGTATTACAAAATAAAATATTTTAGTAGGAAATTAATTTAGGTTTAAGAAATGTATTGCTATATTAAAATATTGTTTAATCGCGCATCGCGCCATCGAGAGTTGACTGTACCTACTCGTTACGTAATCTGACGTGGCAGGGTCGTGCTTGCCAGGCCTGTGGCTGTGCATGTTCTTAGCAAGCGGGCCGGCCTAAGCCCCGCAGCCTTGCGATCAAACACTTGCCCCTCCATCAACCAGCACACGTCTTGTAGATTCGCCACCGGTACAAGGTTATAGTCAGAGCGGGTCGGCCATCCTCCCTGCTAGCGTGATCGAGGCGTTCGTCTGCTTCTCAAAACATACTCTGGAGCAAGCATACTCAGTCCAGTCCCATGCAAATTCGCCTCCTGCTGAAGCCTGACCGCTGCATGTCAGCCTAACCGCGAAAGCTAACTGCAAATCACAAACCAGAGTTATAGAAGACTGGAGGCATTTAGCAAGCCATCGCAAGCAAGTATATCAATCTCTCTTCGCAGCTACCCCATCAACACCTCGTCCACTATCTCATATCCATCCTCATTTGCATGGCCCGCGCTCGCAAGTTGGATAGCAACCTGGCGCAGAAGAGCCCGGCATTGTCTGCAGTTTCTCCACATGTCTCCTTCAAGTAAATGCTTGACGCGAACGGGGCATATCCCACCCTTAGTCTTAACGGGCTGTTCTGACTCCGCTTTAAGATCCGAATGGCCGTTACTAACACGCATATCTACTTCTTCAGTTTGTTTGAGAGGCCACAAAGTGACGTCGGCTTCAGCCCGCGCCGCACATGGGGAAGCAGTGCTAATATCTGGCTCGCAGATGGCTTCAGCGTTGCACGGTCCACACTCTGAATCATCCACTTCACCGCCAGCGGGTGTGCCAATTGCTTTTGGCTCTTCTTTACCTTTCTTGCCCTTCTTCTTCTTCTTGGTCGTGCCCCAATCATCCCAAGGGTCGTCTTCCTTGTCCTCAGGCTCAGGCCCGGGGCTCAGCTCGGGTTCTGGAGGTGGTGGAGGAGGCGGCTCCTCCACCAAAGTCTCCTGTTTCGCGCCCTTCTTGCCCTTCTTTTTCTTGCCAGCCACCACTAAAGAGCCCCAGTCATCGTCCGCTAGCGGTGTAAGCTCCGGAGGCAGGGGTGGCAGCTCCTCAACCTTTGGCTCCTCGATTGCTTCAATGACACCCTTCTTGCCCTTCTTCTTCTTCTTCTTGCCGGTCGAGAATGAGCCCCATCCCCATGCGTCGTCCTCTTTCGCAGCTTCCGGCTCAGGCTCTAGCACAAGCTCGGAAGCAGGTTCAGACTCGGCAGGAGTCTCTTCAATCAGGGTAGCGCCCTTCTTCTTTTTCCTTTCGTCCTTAGCATTGCCGAACGAAAAAGACCATGGGCCTTCTTCCTCCTTTGGCTTCTCAGGCCACCCGGAGGCCCAACTGCTAAGGCCAAAACTGAAACCAGGTGATTTTGATCCGCCGTCACCAAAACTCATGTCAATTTTCGGTTCGGCAGCAACAGGATCGATGGAAGCCTCTTGGACGGGCGCTTCTTCGACGGGAGAGCCTCCAATAGAACACTCTTGAACAGGGCACTCTTGGACAGAACACTCCTGGGCGGGGCCTTCATTAACAGGACAGTCTTCGACAGGGGCTTCTTCGATAGCAACGGAAACTTGCGCCGGGGCTTCTTCGACGGGTGAGTCTTGGGCGGCGGGGACATATTCTTCAGAAACCCTCTGGATAGAATCCTTCTCTATGTTGAGCATGCATGAGAGCTTATTGTTGTAAAGTTCCACTACGCGCTTTACCAGGACTTTGTTGAGAGCAACATTGCTAATGCGGCCAAAGAAGTCATCCTTTGCAAATGTGGTGTGATCTTCCTCAAAAGCAGTTTTGATTTTCCCGTTTAGGTAGTCCTGGAGCCAGTGGGTATTACCCGGGAGTTTTGAGAAGTCTTCGTTGAGAGCTTCAACGACGTCGAAGATGTTCATCTCCGTGCCGTAGTGTTCGACCTTGTGCATTGCCAGCTGCTGTAGGCCGGCGAGCTCATAAGTCTTCGCGGTGATATAGGCCAAGACAGCTCTCTTGAATTCAATATGTACCTCCTTAACCGGAGAGGTCTCCATGTTGTCGAGCGTTTGGTAAACGCCGGTGTACAGGTAGTGAACCAGTACATGGCCGGTGTCCTCGTCGACATTGGGCAGGTATATATAGTCCCCCGATGAACAGGAGGCGATCCATCCCGGGTTTTGCAAGAGGTTTTGCGGGACGTAGTACTCTCTGTGCTCTGGGCCGATATGAAGTGCGATAGGAGAACCTGTGTAAGGACTGTAGACCATAGTTAGCTCTACGTGAGTTGGAAGCACCCAGAAATGGGATGTCGAACGAGGTCTTGGGCCGCTGGGTTGTGGGCCGAGAGCTACCAGTTGATTCCGTGGACAACTCTTCCAATAGAGGTTCCAGTTCGGTCAATGCTTGCTGCCTGCCGGCGGCCTTCTTTTTACCCATTGCCAACGTCGAATGTAAAGACTCGGCTGAAGCTTGCGAAAGTAACTCGATTGAAGCAGTTTGCGTGTGAAATGCTGGCACAGATCGGTCTATATACCGAGTGAGCCACGCCCCACGCCCAGGCAGCAGCATGTCCGGGCGCCCATCCTCCAATAATTGGAACTTACCCAGCCAATGGAAACCAATTAGCACCCACCACGTCAACCAAGAAACATATTCCGACACCAAGCAGTCGACTCTGGCAAGCGTTCGGTTTTAGTTCCCGCAGTGGGCCCTTTTCAGAACCAGGATCTTCGAAAATCTGGTCTAGAGGGCCGGGGCCGTGCTCGAAACGTCTTAGCGCGGCTCACCCATCACATGGTCCGCATCAACCATGCGCTCCATACCTACAGACACACTCATTTTGTCCCTCTCATCCACAAAAAAAATATGCGCCACTGGACAAAGCTCCTGGCCGGTGCGGTTCGGCCGTCCTCTCTGCTAGCGGTGGCAACTCGAAGTACCATCTCATATGGCTGCACCTTACACTGATTTCAAAGCAAACTGTGGTGTTTTAGCTATGCTGTTTTTGTGCTACGTTAAGCTTGCTGGCGTCGACGTTTTGAAGTCAAGGCCGGTGGAAGGAGGCCGAAGAGCTAGAAGCAAAAGAACTAGGAATCTGCTCGAGGGTGCTTGGGGAGGAGCATCCTTCCACGCTGACCAGCATGGCCAACCTAGCGTCGACGTACAGGAATCAAGGCCGGTGGAAGGAGGCCGAAGATCTGGGCGTGCAAGTGATGGAGACGAGAAAGAGGGTGCTTGGGGAGGAGCATCTAGACACGCTGACCAGCATGGCTAACCTGGCGTTTACGTTAAAGGGTCAGGGACTTACAAATAAAGCCATCCCACTAATGGAGGACTGCTGCAGGCTGCGGACCGTAGTTTTGGGTCCTCAACATCCCTTTGCTATATCATCTCGCAAAACTCTTACGACATGGCAGTCAGGGGCAATAGCACTTAGCAAACAGAATAACACCTAATAGGTGTGGCAAACACATAGTCTCTAAAGCAGCAGGCTCAACGTAGCACAAAAACAGCATAGCCAAAATACTACAGTTTGCTTAGAAATCAGTGAAAGGTGCAGTCTATGTGGAATAGTAACTTCAAGTTGCCACCGCTAGCAGGGAGGAAGGCCGACCCGCACCGGCCAGGGGCTTTGTCTGAGGGGCGTTGAATATAATTTTCTGGCGTAGAGGAGGAATTGATTGATTGATTGATTCCTACACGGTTTCAGCCGCGGTTTCTTCGCAGCTATGCCCGGATGCAGAGGTTTGGCAGACAGCCGACGCTTTGCCGAGCTAGTCAGCAGGCCCCACTTCACCACACCAAAGGTAAACATTGTCGGTTGGCGATGGGCTGACCAAGAAGCCCATCAGTAACTGTATACTGTGTATTGTGACTGCGATATAGGGGCGTTTGGGCTCTGTCGTCGCTTTCGTGTTGCCGTGCGCAGCGGAATGGCTGTTGCTGCGTTCGATGGACGTGTCATTTGTGTAGCTTGCTCGCGAATTGTCCTGCCGCGGCCGCAACAGCGACCCTACAGGTGCCAAATCAACGCGGAGGGGACGCGCGATGGCCTGTAGGGCTGTTGCGGCCACTAGCAGGAGTGTTTCGATGCTTTTGTGATGGGTCTTTCCAAAAATTTGGTTCTCGCTGTTTGTCGTGCTTTCCGTAGAGGAGGAATGAGGTTGAACTAATATCAGATTCGCCACTGTGGCGAGTGGGCGCCAAGAGATTTCGCGGCGAGATCAGATCTCGGGAGACAGAACGGCTCGAACAAGGGTCCGAGATTTAGGCTAGCTAAGTTAGTGTGCTAATCACGTGAGTCGGCGTTTTGCTCAGCTCAAACGACGCGACAACAACAGCCCATCAACTGCCATCTCTCACCGGCTATCGCCTCGCCCGCGCACTGCATCTCCCAATCTTCTTCCATTGATTTCATCTCATATTCACTCTCTCATGCTAGGAAAGCGCGCGCGTTCGACCAGCTCTGCGAATTGCACTGCGGCTTCTCCCGAGAACACTCGACCTGCAAAACGACTGGCACGATCCGTCCAGGCCGCCGTTCCTTATGCGAAGAGACGCGGCTCCGCTATCAAAAAATTCTCTCGATGCTCTTGTCCTCCTAACGTCGTCCGCTATCTTCCTGCGTCTGCTCGAATTCGAACGCGCCGCGCACACTCCGTCGACCCTCCTACCCCGCCGCACCTGCGCAGCTTGAGTCCGTATGCCCTCCAACGTCGACGAGCCTGTTCCCTCGATCGTAGCCCCACACCTCTGCCCCTCACACGAGAGAACCTACGCTCTTTTGAGCACAGCACGCAGTCCTCTCCGATGTCTGTCCCCCGAAATCCGTCCCCGACGCGAAAAGACACTGCCATTACGGACAAGAAACAGTTGGCTGGGTACAACATAACTGTGGACAAGGGGATTGCGCTCCCAGCGGCGCTTGCTGACTTTGTCAAGACACTTCAGCGAGCCCGTGAACAGGAGCCTTCCCCCCATGCACAAGCAATTATGGACACTCGGAGGGCTGCGTCAGTGGAAAATGAGATCACCGCCCGCAAGATGATGGAGGAGCACATCCTTTTCCGGGGTGAGGGATATTCTAGCGGTGTCAAGGGCTTGACATTAAAGGACCAGGTGAATCTAATCAAATATTATCTCCCTACGCCGCCGCGTGTAACCGTGCCGGAGCTGTGGGGCTCGCTCGCACGACCGCAGCCAGACAGCTGCATCGGATATATCACGTCCACAGAGGCGACTGCACACACGCCCCCATTTATGATGCCATTCACCCGCGAAGAGGACGACATGGCTGACTGGTACGCAGTCCTCCCTTTTCAACCCCGGTCTCCTCAGCTAACTCTAGCCGCAGGTATAACGTGGTTTACAACGCCGATACACATTTTCCCTTTCTCACGGCTCAATGGAAGGCCGCCATCTTTGGCGAAAACCAGGTCCATGCGTCCCTCCAGGCTGCCCGCGACGGCGCGCTTATCGTCAACTACATGCACCAATTCTACTCGCTTGCATACCCCGATTGCGACCCCACGCAGCTCGAGACATGCCATTTCTCCTTGACGACTGAGAGTTACACAATTATACTTTGGATACACTGGCGGGAGGTAGATCCAGAAGATGGCGAGGTATACTACAGGATGGAGGAAGTAGAGACGGCGCGAATGGGCAAGCTTAACGATCTTCTAGATATCCGGAGGATGCTGCATAATTATCTTGACTTTGCGTTTGGAGAACGGTTGAGGTCAATCAAAGACGCCCTTCCTGCATTCTGGCCAAACCGTCCGGAGAGAAGGGCTAAGAAGACGAAGTCCCAGAGCTCAACAACAGGATCTGGGTCACAACCACGGTTCCGTCTGCCAATAACCCCTTCAAGCAGTGTTGGGGAGAGTGTGAACAGTGATGCAGTGCCACCTAAGAAGATAAAGCGCAAGCTAACAGATGTGTCACAATAAAGATTGATTAGAATAAGTGTAGACCGATAGTAATATTAGTCTAATTCATTATGAGCGGAGAAGTTTTTGATTCAGTAGGAGGTTTTCCAGTATGTGCATGTTGATGTTACGCAAACAATATTGTTCAGGAAATTAGTCAAGCAAGTTGTATGCGATGCCGTAAACAAATTAAGCTCCATGCGCTCTAGTCAACGTGATGAACCGCAAGGAAGTCTTCTTTGGGTTTGGATCCCATCGTTCCAACGGCCCGATCCAAGATCCATTCCTTCTGCCGAGACCTGATCTAATGGTTCTGGCCCTCTTGGAGCAGGCGGAGGCCAAGAGTTTGAATGACGAAATCAGCTTTAATTTAGTCTAGTATAAAGCTTTAAATTTTATAAGTTTTTTTTTATAAACTAAAAGCTTTTTATAATAAGCATCTAAATTAGCTAAGACTTTTATAGGCCTTATATAAGTAAATTAAGGCTTTTAAAGCTAGTATAAAAGGCATAGATTACTTAGCAGATAATAAAGTATAAAAGTAAGAAGTTAATTTATAGTTATATATAATAGTATTACAACTTTATAGACATTATACTAAAAAGGTCTAACAGCAAGCTGTTAGACACTTTTAAACTTTTTTTTTCTTTTCTTTTCTTTTTTCTTCTTTTTCTTTTCTTTTTTCAAACCTCTTTTACTTTATTCTTAGCTACTTAAAAGCCTTATAATGTTTACTTAAAAGTTAGACACTAAAGCTTTTAAAGCTAAAACTTAACAAAGTGTAACAGCACAGGCAAGACAATAGGTCTAAATGCGGTAAGAATCCACTTAGAGGCATATAGAAGTGCGCGGGGACTCAGAACCTAGGAATTTCCATTAACACCTAAGGGCCTTGTATAAAGGATATTAGAAAACTACTAAGCTAGCTACAGGGGCAAGGTGCGACTAAATACATAAGGGAATAGGGGTAACAGCAGGGGTTAGGGCCAGGTTAGGGTCGGGGCTAATACAGGGGCCTTCTAGGCTATTGTTACAATCTTAACTTCAGAGAAATAGTGTCCGAAGAACTCTAGGCCTATGGAGGGAATTAGGAGGGCGAAAGGGGAGAGAACTTAGTCTTAAGCGGGTGTACAGTCTATTAAGGCGTAGTTATTAGGAACAGAAGGTGCAGCTAACTGTAGTTTACCCTTTAACAGCAGTATAAGGTGCTTAGGTTAAACAGTTCCTAGGTAGGAACAAGATAGAAGGTATATATAGTGTAAAATATACTATTAAATTACTTTTTATTAAAAAGTAGTAATGCTACTTAGTCTATATAAATAATAAACTAAACTTTAATTATAGCTTCTAAGTAAAGTTAGGATCTTATACTATATACATAGAGTTGCATGCTTTGCATGCTTTGCATGCTTTGCATGCTTGTGCCTGCATAGCGTGCATCGCATGCGTAGCATGCAAACGCGCTTAGCTTATTAGATAATGCATTTAGCTGTGCATTAGTTTAAGAGCTTTGTCTATTCCTTATCTGTTAAGTTACGTGACTTATTAGATAAGAACATAGAAAGACTCTATCCTTGTTTATTTAAACAGTAGAGCATAGAGGGTTAGCAGCTTATAGTCTAATTATAGGTTATAACATGTAAGCTCCTCTCCCTACTAGCGTTCTTACTGTCCTGCTTACACTATTATAAGTGTTAAGGTTCTTTTTTATCTAGTAAGTGCTTTTCTATAAACGCTTTGTAAATGTCTATTCTTTTTAACTATGCCTTACTAGTGTTCTTGTTTATCTAGTTCTACGCGTTGTTTGCGCACTGTTGCTTACTTTAATCCTCTTTACTATATAAAAATGCAGCTATATAGTTCTTATTACTTAAGTAGCTCTTCTTATGTCTTAACCTTATTATTAGACAAGTGTGTAAAGTGTGTAAAGAAAAGTAGTTATTATAACACCTTTATTTTTAACACTATGTAGAATTGCCTAAAGAAGAAGCGCAAAAGACTTCTAAAGAAGGTATAAAACACTTATTTTTAAAAGAAGTAAAAGAGAAAATGCTATCTAAAAAAGGTAAAGCGTTATTTAAGTAAGCAGTAGTTTATTAATGCTAGAAAAGCCTAGGCTTAAAAGCAACTTAACCTGCTAAAGGATTAAAAAGTAAAGTATTTAAAAAGAGACTTTTTATCCTTAGATAAAATTAAAGCACTAGAGGCAAAAGCTGTAGGTCTTCTTTCTTCTTAGTCTATATTTAAGAATTATAGACTTCTTACATTACAGCTATCTAATGTTGCTAAGGTTTTTTTTTAGCTAATAATAGTGTTTTTTAGGCTAGAGAACTTTCTCTAGGCTAGTTCTAGTTAGAAGAGACGCCTAATAATCTTAAAAAAGCTATAAAGTGTTTATTAAGTTTTTAATAAGCTTTTACATGCTTTTACTAGTAAGCTATTTTTTTTACTTTACTAGAAACTCTCTTTTATTTTTAGTATTAAGTATATGTTTTACTTTATATTTTACTTCTATATCTCTTTAACTAGTTGTTAAGAGAGGTATTTGCTTTAGTACTTTCTTAAGCTTTAAAATATAGAACTATAAGTGTATACACATTTTTTTTAGTAGTTTAAGCTTATAGTTGTCTTATTATATTTATAATACTTTATATAGTCTATTATATTTTTCTATAACGTACTTTACAGGCGAGTTGCTTACACACCTAAGTTACTTACTTTTGCTAAGACCCTACTAAACTACTTATTTTACACTAATGTATTTCTAACAACACTACTTAAACACACTAAAAGAATGTTAGATACAGCTTATACTTTAAGCTTTTAAATAAAATATAAAACTTTTAAAGAAATGTACTATAGCTATGTATAAAGTTTTTTAAAAAATAATAAATAACTATAGCACTAGATAACTTTTATAAGCTAATTCTATAGCTTACTTATAAAGGCTAGGTAATAATAATAAAAAAGTAATTATTAAGACTATACTTAAGCTATATATATAAGAATTTTCCTTTTAAATAGCATTTATAGCTAATATAGCTAATTTTTTACGCGCTAAGTATAATCTAGGCTATATTAGCATAAACTAGCTTAGTATATTTATAAAGTGTTATTTAAAGCTTAAAGTAAAGTTTTAAGTATAAGTAGTTATAGCTATAAGCTTAAAAAGAAATCTATGTGTAATAAGCTTAAGTATATACTTAATAACTACTTTTTTTTAAGCTTAGTTAAATTTCTTAATTTAGGCTAGCATTTTACTTATAAAGGCTATCTAGCGTGTTAATTACTTAGTGTTATATAAAAAATATTATAAATAGCTGTAGCATGTTATAAAAAAAGTTTTAAGTTTTATTTAAAAGCCTAAAAAGTAAGCTGTAATGTACTTCACAGGCAAGTGTTACGGTCTATGGTTGGACCAGCGTAACTCCACCAGCAGTGCTCCCCCATCTAGCTGGATTGGGACAGGGCTCGCTTAAAGACCAGTCGGAGGACACAGAGGCGGCGCACCCGCCTGAAGTTATAGAAGAATGCGTTGTCTAATAAGAAGACAGGCTGCAAATTTAGGGAGCCTAAGGAAGCTTAAAAGAGCCTGTAGAAGTCTCCTTAGTAAACTCCTATAAACTCCTACTAGCTCCCCTTAGCGCCCTAGCATATGTATATAGTTCCTACATTAAACAACCTTTAGAAAGTGTGTTTAATATTTAGTTTATTTATTACATAGACTAAGTAGCATTTAGCTTTTTAAAGAGCTATAATACTATTTATATATCTTACACTATATATACCTCTAACTCTGTCTATTAGGACTGTTTAACCCTAGCCTTCCTACTGCTGCACATAGGGCAAACTACAATCTAGTTATTCTACATAAGCCTCTATTAGCCTAATAGCCTGTACGTAGGACTGTACACCCTACTAGTTAGCCTCTACCTCCTGTCCTACTTCCCCTTTATAGAAATACTATAAGACCTAAGTGCTTCTTAAAGTAAAAATTATAATATTAAACACTACTTTTTTTAAAAAGTATAGCTACTTTATAACATAACTTAGATTTTAATATAGCCTATGCTGCGCTATTAAGATCTACAGAAGTTCTTACCTAAAGTAAGGCTATTCTAGCAGAATAGATTAACTTAATTTAGAATAATATTAAGAAACTCTAGTAAATTAGTAATAAAGTTAGTAAGCTTAAAAAACTTAAGTAAAAAATTACTAACTTTTAATAAAAAATAATAAAACTATAAAACTTTTTAAAACTTCTAAGCCTCTAGAAAGCTACTAACTAAGCCTACTAGATATATAAGTTATAAGTAGAGCTAGCAAAGATCTAAAACATTTTAATAAAAAAAGTAAGTATTATAGCTAAAAAGACTTTAAGACTAGCTTTTTTAAAGCTTTTTAAAGAATTATTAAAAAACCTTTAACTATTTTTTACAAAATGTTACCTTTATATATAATATAATAAAGAAGCATTTTAGACTAATGCAAAAATAATATCCTAGATAGAACTACACCTAGAAGGCCCCTTTATAATTTAGTTCTAACCTTATGCAGATAACTAGATAAACTTTAAGGTAAATAGTAAAGCGCTTACTTTTAAAACTAAAGAAATATTTAGTAGTATTAAAAACTTTAAAAAAGCTTTAACAGCTATTTATAAAACTCTAAATAAAAAAAAATTACAGCTAATAAGCTAAACACTATAAAATAAAAAAATAACTTAGTTTAGAATTATGCAGCACGCTTTAGAAAACAACTAGCTATCTGCAGATAGATAGATTAAAAAGCTCTCTGCTACATGTTCTATAATAAACTAAGCAAAATAGTAAAAGATA